TGCATTAACACTTATCGATATTATTAGTTTCCCAAAATAATTCGAAAGCAACTGTGTATTCAGATATTGTTGCTTGATACATATTAACACCAATTCTTCCGCTATAATATCCTTTAGCAGAGTCTAAATCAAAATCAAAAGGTTTGACTCTCTTTTTTGATGAAAGTGATGAAAAGTCTTTATCAATTAAGTCTTTTCCATCAACATTGTCTTCATCGCTAAATTGACCTGTTTGATTCATAATATAAGATAAATCATTTTTCATCGCAACATTACTTACATTACGCTGTGATTGATCATTTACATATTTCTCGTATTGCGTTTCGATAAATGCATTATTATCAGAAACAGTAATGTTAACGAAATTAACATTTGCAGCATTGAAACTTTGATGAACTTGAGAATTAGCTAAGTTTACAATTGGTTTACGATTCATATCAAGATTTCCAGTCATCTTTTTTGAACCATCTAGCGGTAAAAGTTTTGAGACTTTTGAATCCACGTTTGCAACTGTTTCTTTTTTATTCAATTCTGTATTTATCGTCTGAATATCTGAATTGTCTGCTTTTTTAGCTAATTCGGTGTTAACATAGCTAGGGTCAGCTTTCTCATTGAGTCTTATATCCATATTTGCTTGACTAGCTTTACCGCTTAGATCATTACGCATGACAGAAAGATCTGCTTTATTTTTAAGCTCATCATCAACATACAATTTGCGAGTTGCTTAGTTATCTGTAGATGGATCACCTAAACCATATATTTGTCTATCATAGTTAGACTTTGAAGCATCGAAAATGATAGCAGCATCCATGGTTCCCCCTGTCTTTTTATTCAAATAATTGCTTAAATCGACATATTTTTTTTAGCTATTTCACCGTCAACGTATGCCTTGCTTGTTGCAGCATCATCTCTTGATGGAGTACCTAAACCTAATACTTGACGCTTATTATCACTATCACCAGCAACCTAATTATATTATTAATGATGCCACCAGTCTTTTTATTGAGATATGTTTGCTGGATATGAGTTAAGTTTACTACTTCTTGACTGTCTTGAGAAGCAGAGTCAAAGTCTGGTACTCTTATTTTAGACTGAAAGGTTTGAACATTAGGTGTAACGAGATCTGCTTTGTTACCTAACTCAGCTCTGAGATTATCGTGTGATGTAGTGTCTGCTTTTTTATTTAGCTCATCATCAGCATATTTTTTAGTAACAGCATCACTATCATCTTGAGGTGTTGAGACATTTACTAACCGTTTTCCATCAATATCATAATTACCATCAGATGTCAGTTTAAAACCAACTCCAGGAATATCACGCCCTCCTTATTTTCCTTGTCCATAACCTGATTCTAGAAGACCATTGCTTTAGCTCATTATAATACATCTTATATAATTTCATTGAAGTTCTTTGTGATTGATTTATTCGGTTTGTCAACGTAAGTAAAACTGTATGGATCACTGGCTGCTGCTTGGTATTGCTCTTTTGAGATGTTATTTTCACGGCATAATGGGCTTCTTTCATTATTACTTGGAAAATCATAAAGACAAAAATGTGAGCAGTTTAATCTAATATCTTTCAGGGTTTTATAATAAGATTGAGATAGATATATCACACTGCAGTTTTTATGCCTTCCTCTTATAAAATATTCAACCAATGGTTTTTGGTTTTTTTCACAAACATAATCATCAAATATGATCAATTTTTGGTTGTCATCGCTTAATTCAGATCCTGGAATAATTTCATCATTACTAAGGGTTATAAAATCCTAACCACATTCTTCACTGATATCTTCAAATTGTTTAATCAATTTTTGGTTCTTAGCTTGTTCTAAATTCTTTGCATAAAGATAGATTTTATCATAATACAGCAAGTCATCATATACATTAAAGTGTTTGTTTTACCACAAACACTAGGGCCGCAAATTAGCATTCTAAAGTTGTCATGTGGCATAAAGTCATGCAATTGTTGGTAATTGGTTTCATCTTGCCCACAGTCATAATTAGGTATTTTCATTTATATATTTAATATCAAAGATTTTTAAGGCAAAATATTATCAATTTAAATTTACTTTGTGCACAACAAGATATAGAACATCTTAAAAATATCTCAGAAATACATATATTATGAGTCTATTGGCATGGAAAAAATCAGCTAAAGGAAAATCAAATTTAAGTAAAAATATTAAGGAGGTAAAAAATACGATTGCTGAAACCAGCATTCTTGTAAAGACTAATGATGCATCATATCCAAAGCTTTTTAAACCAGTGACTGATAAATTTGATGACTTTATTTTTACAAACCTTATACCTAATAACCAAAAGAAAAAAAATGAAAAAGAAAGAGCTTGCAGCTATTGATTACAAACCCGAGGTTGATCCATTTGAAGACATGGATGTCGAAAGTTTAATTGATGATTTAGAAAATTATGTACCTCTATCTTAAACGAATACATAAAATACTATGAAGAAAAATCTCTAATATTTAGAATAAAACCGAAACGAAAGGCAGTCGAAGGCAGAAAGAAAGAAAGGCAGTGGTGTTGTCTTTTACAATAAAAGTAAAGATCTGGTAAAAAAACTAGAACTTATCATAGGTGAGATAATAGCTGGAAACACAAGTATTAAAATGCGCAATACTGGAGCTGAAATCTTAAACGCTTCATTAAAAACCTCAGCTATTAATAAATCACAGTATCAACAGATATTCAAGAAATATTTTAAGATGTAAAAGATATTCAGAAATATTTCAAGGTATAAATATAATGGACAGAGAAATAGTGTTATCTTTGGCTTCAGTTAAAGATTTTGAAAACAACAGACCAGGAGACAACTAGATTTTATCGGCCATTAGTTTTAGACAGCAATTTTGAATATGGTATTGGTTTAAATAGAATTATCAATATGGCATTTACATGGTATAATGTAAATGATAATTATGACAATCGAAAATTAATGTATAGTAGTGATAACGGAAGTTCATTTGCTGATATTATTTACCATCAGGTATCTGGAATTACGAGAGATTTGATGAATACTTCGAAGATTTAACAAAAATCGAAGATGATGATGGAAATGAAACTTATCCCATAACTATTAAATTTGATTAAACAACTTTTAGAGCTACAGTCACTCTGGCTGAAAACTACCAACTTGACATGACTCAATCAAATTTCAATGATTTAATTGGTTTTGATAAGGTCATCTTAACTGAAAATGTGAATGTTGGACCAAGAGTTCCTAATCTAAATCAACACCTCGACGTATTCAATATTCATTGTGATTTGATTCATGAATCTCTTGTTGATGGTGAAGATAGTGATATCATATATAGTTTTAGCACATCAGTTTTACATCCTTCATTTAGTTTCACTTTCGAACCAAAAAGGATCACCTTTAATCCAATTGATAAGACAACAATATCAAGCATCAACATGTATATTACTGATGGAAAAAGAAGGAGAGTCTATTTTAATCGGGCAGATGTGGCTTTTTCATTGCTATTGAGAAAAATAACATGAAATATAGTCATGCGTCACTTAAAAAATTATGTGGTTTATAAGTAGAAAATGAAACCGCAAGAGTTCAAAAGAATCTATTATCCTAAGTTAGTTAAATTCGTTTACCAACATAAAGGAAGTGGTCTCATCGTTGATCAAATATTTAAGCCAATGAGAAAAGTAGCTTCAGCTGTTGTTTCAAAGTTGTTTAAGCCAATAGTTAAAAAGGCACTTGAGAGTGGAGTTAAACATGCTGGAGAGAGACTAGGTAAAGCAGTTTCAGAAAAATCAGGTGACCTTATAATGAAAAAGCTTGGAATATGAAATCATCAACAAAAGCGTAAAAAAAAAGAAAGCACCAAACCGTCAAAAACAAATGAAAAAGGCTGACATAGATCTTATGATCAATAAACTAATAGCCAGAAGCTAAATCTCTAATTTTAACTTTTGACTTAAAAAAATTTTAAAATATAAAAATATAATGGCTTCCTTCAGATCAAGCGAAAATCTTGAAAGATATGAAATGATAAGATTTCAACTTAATGATATTATAAGGATTCCAGCAAACAGTCAGATTCAAAACAAAAAAGGATGTAAATTCACTGTTAATGATAGATCATCATTTTATTTGATACATTAATGCTGATGATGATGCTAGTGTTTTGTCAACTTGTCGTTTAGAATATGGAAATGGAGTTTATTATCCAGAAACAGAATATGATACTGAAAGCAAAGTAAAAATTTACAATGATCTAATGAGTTATGCATGGTGAAAAAATGATTACAACTCTGGCACTCAAGTTAATCTATGAAATTACAACAGTCTTTTCCCACTGATTTATTTTGATCTGTCATACCAAACTGAAAAACTCACAAGAGATCCTACAGAGTTGATTTTCAGGTATAAACTAACTGCTGATAGCACAGATGCTTTTAGCATACATGGTATTGTTCTTTATGAAGAGGAAGTAGTAATTGATCAAATAGGAAATGAACTGATTATTGACTAAACAGGTTAGTTAAAATAAATAATCTACGTTTTATTAAAAATAATATTTAACGTACGTTATAGATGCCTAAAACTAAACTTTTCGAAATCAAAGTTTCTTTGTCTGATAACCAAAAAAAGAGCGTAGCTACTGCTTATAAAAAAAGAGAAACCATTACTTTACGGTTGTCAAAAGACGACTTAACAGGCAATGACGTCCTCTATTTTCCAAAAAATACAGTAAATAGATTGGAAAAAAATCGAAAATTGAACAAAGGAATGGATATCAAACTAGCAAAAACAAACATCAGGAAGCAAGTCGCTAGTGGGATTTTGAGCTCTCTTTTGCCTTTGGCTAGAACTTTAGCACCAACTATTGGAAAAACTCTTGGTCTTTCAGCTCTTGCTGGATTAGCTAGTGAAGGTGCAAGTCAAATAGTGAAATAAATTTCTGGAGGTGGGATGCATTACTTTGTTCCTCGTGAAAATCTCCATTATCTAGCTAAGAATCAGCACCTATTGAATAAAAGGCAAATCAACGATGTTGCTAAAGCTCATCAAACTGGTAAAGGCATACACATCTCAGCACCTAAGACACAATCAGGTGGTTTTCTTGGAACATTACTTGCAAGCATTGGAGTTCCTCTGGTACTTGATATGGTTAAGAAAATGACAGGTAGTGGTGGTCCACAAATAGGAGCTCCTCCTCCACCTAAAAGAGGTAGGGGTGGTCCACAAATTGGTGCACCTCCTCCACCTAAAAGAGGTAGGGTGGTCCTCAAATTGGTGCTCCTCCACCTTTTTTTGGAAATTGGCCTGGTTATTCTGTTGGTAGAGGTAAAAAAAAAACGTTGGGAGAGGGAATCCTCTTCGGAAAAAACAGCCCATTCAATGGGGTTCCTCTGTTACGAGCGATGTTATAAGTCATAATCCTAAATTCCACTATAATATTCCAATGAGCAATCATGATTTAATTGAATGGTGCCAATACTTAAATATACTCATTAATAATGTATTATCAAGAGATCAAAAAGTTCCTCACAATCATAAATTGGGTTTATTTATATACAATCTTCAATATACAATAATCAATCCACATATGTAAAAGACAATACCATTAATAATTTCGATAGTTTTGGTATGCCTCCTTTCACGAATTAGTAAATCGTGCTGAAAAGAAGAATTTGACTTTGCCTCATCAGAATAATCAGATACAAGATTTATACACAACAAAATGTGACAGAATATTTGTGTTTGACTTTAACAATACAAAGCATAACAGAAAATTTATATCTAAATATTTTAATATTGTGTAAAAATATAATGAAGAGTTCCAGGTAGCGAAACCTATGTTACTACTAAAAACAACCGTAAGATGATGAAATGCAAGTGTGCTGAATGCGGAATAACTAAATGTAAATTTATATAAAAAGAATAAAACATATAATATAAGATGAAGAGCTACAGCGAAAAACGAAAAAAGCAGACTGAATGTGTTCCTGGTAGTGAAATATACATCACGACTAAAAACAATAGAAAAATGATGAAATGCAAATGTGCTGAATGCAGAATAACTAAGTCTAAATTTATAAGCAACAAAACCGGTGGTTCGATTGATATTCATAAAGCTATTGGAAAACTGTCAAAACCAAAAGGTGGGTGGACATTGCCAGGTCATAAATATACTAGGCCCTATAATGATTTAGATTCACAAGTTAAATTTGACTCTAATACTGGTGAAATACTTGCGATATATGATAAACCAACCGGCGCAACTGATGCTATTGCAATGCAACATGATGTTCATTTTAGTGTCTGTGGTGATAATAAAAAATGTAAAAATATAGCTGACAGAAAAATGGTTATATCTCTGGATGCAGTTCCATGGAATGAGCGGCAATGGGGCCATTGGCTTGCTGGGAACATGATTAATACTAAACAAAAACTTGGGCTAGGAGTTAAAAAACGACTGGCAAGAGCAATATGCAGATGAATTACATAAACCAATAGAGCGTCATTTTTCTCGTCGTCGAGTTATTGTTAATCATATCGATGGAATATGGTGTGGCGATTTGATTGAAATGCAAAAGTATAGCAAATGGAATAAAGGTTATAAGTACCTACTTATGGTATTAGACACATTTAGTAAATACGGTTGGATTAAGCCATTACGAGATAAACGAGGTGAAGCAGTAACCCAAGCATTTAATGAAATATTCCTAGACGGTAGAAAACCGCAATATTTATGGGTGGACAAAGAAAAAGAATTTTACAATAAAAATATGCAAGATCTCTTGCAAAAATATGATGTTCACATGTATTCAACACATAATGAAGAAATGTCATCAATTTGTGAAAGATGGAATAGAACTATCGAAAAAAATGTGGAAGCAGTTTGATATTCAAGGTAATACCCAATATGTTGAGATATTACCCAAAATATTGCATGAATATAATAACACTCGTCATAGTTCAATAAAAATGACGCCTATTGAAGCTAGTAAAAAACAAAACGAAGGGACTGTTTATTTCAATTTAAATAGTGACATACCACCCAAACAACAACCTAAATTTCAAATCGGTGATGTGGTTAGAATAAGCAAGTACAAAAGAAAAACCTTTGATAAAGGCTATACCCCAAACTGGACTGAAGAAGTCTTTGTCATCGATAAAATTCAATACACTAATCCAATCACTCACAACATAATGGTGAAAAAAGTTTTTACGAGCCTGGATTATTGAAAGCAAACCAAAATATTTTCAGAATAGAAAAAGTGACGAGGAGAGACAATAAAAAAGAGGGCATTAGTTAAGTGGAAAGGATATAGTAATGACTTCAACAGTTGGGTGCCCTTTGAAGATATATTATGATTCATTAACATAAAAATATTGACTATGACTGTCTAAATATTTACCAACCACAGGGCTATTATCACACACGTAATTATCTATGCTATTTATCGTATTCAGCAAATGAGTTCTGTCAAAGCTACCAGATCTCATTGCATCTTTGATTGTATTAAGCAAATGCTGATAACTTTGATAAGCATACAGACAATTTTGGATTTCAAATCAAGATTTTTATGTTTCATAGCCCCTTGTATTAAAACAGCCGCTGTACTTATTGCCACTAGAGCAATACCTCCCGAAGCTATTGACGAAGCCAAACCACTGGAAGCGAATACTACAGACAATGAGTTTCCGATGAGCTTCAATTTTCTATAGTGCTTAAAAGCTTTTTTATACGCCCAACATTTTCTGTGGTTAGCACAATAGTATGCTTTCAACTCTTTCACTTGTTCTGCCGATAAATCTTTTGAAATATAGTTCCAATAAAAAATGCTTTGCGTTTGTCCTTCATTATATATTACAAAATAACATTTTTAAAAGCCTATTTGCGTAAGTTTCTGACGCAAAAGGAACTCTTTAGAAAACCTTCTATATATCAAAAGATTTGGTTGCAAAGTTCATAATATGACCATTTCTCTCAAGCAGTTAAAGCAACGTTGTCTCAACGCTGACAGCAACTCACATAACACAAAACAGTATAAAGCAGAACATTCCCTTCCAGAAGTCGTCATAAAAGCACAATATTTTTATATAAATACCTATGACAATAAATGTCCCAGTATACGTCTTTGGTTTCTATTACACATGTTAGTAAATCCGTGTCAGTAAACAATAGCTTGGCTTCCTCATTATATTTCTTTTTGATGTAATTATGATGAAAATCATACATAAGAAAGAAAACATTGGAAAGATCAAGTATACACATACCAACAAATGACGGCCTATTTAATATAATTGTTGGTTGTTTCACGCCAACCAAGTCTTCATTAAATATCTTATAAGACTCATAAGTAGGTTTTGATGCTAATTTTATCAATTTTCCATCCTCAGTAACTAATTTCACATTAGATCGTTTTCTTATGTTTTTCATGGTCTTACCAAATATGCTATTATTCATAAGCTTGAAAAAATCTTTTTCAAAACTGTTTTTAGCATTAGCCCTCTTTTGTGTATTAAAATCGATATATTTTTTAACCATTTAAACTGTTTAAATTCTAAAGCTCAATGAACTTTCTTTACATGTAAACCTAATGATGTGTATAATTGACGGTTACGATAATGCAGCACGTAATTTTGTTTGTCGCTGAATGTTGGTAGAAGCTTTTTAACTTGTCCAATATTTAAATTACATTTCTCTTGATGTTTTGACAATATGGTGATAACATGTCAGCTGCCACCTTTGTTTTTTTGCTGCACATGAATAACCATTATGTAAATCATGCAATTCTTTTGGGTACTCTAAATCTATTTCAAGAATTAACCCTCTGTCGCTATTGTCATTCAATGACTTCCATGATGTATCATCTGTCCATTTAAAACCTCCAGTTGGAAGCGCTTGACTCATCGCCCAACGATATAAGCTATTAGCATCTAGATAATTAAATATTTCGATTTTTCATTAAAGTCCTAGTTTTCCATTTACTTATTGTTTGCTTGCCCGTGACGGTGAGCAATATATGATATACCCCCACGCATTCCTTTTTTAATAAATTGAAACATATCAACATCATGCATAAGTTCAAGTTCGACTTCAGTCATTTTTAGCATAGCGTCCCATGACGAAATGTGAAATAATGACATGGATCAAGTTTATAATATTCAAGACATGTATTTCTAAAGTTCTCAAATACGTCAGCTAAAAGAAGTACGTCAGATTTTAAATATAAGTCATGATATTCACAGGGCGTGAAATTAACTTTTTTTTTCTGATAGCCACTTGGCTCCTAAATTCTTCAAAGTGGTAGCCAATTCAAAAAGTTGGTCGCCATTTTCAAAGACAAACAAAATCTTTTTTTACGCTGTCAGCGTTCTAGATAGACCCTCCAAAATTAAGTTAGGGAAAAGATCTTTAACGTGCTACAAAGTGGACACTAGGATGGATGATATACAACGTTCAGGCTCATCTAAATCCAAGATGGCGTCTAGTTATCGATCGAGATGCATGTGCTACGTTTTGGAAACAAACTTAACGAGGAAGTTTGCCGCGGATTTATCTTTGCAAATCTTTTTAATTCACTATATCTCTTGGTAAGGTTATGACGAAACGTTCTAGTCGCCAATTTGGCGACTAACTTTCAGGATTTGGTCGCCAAAGTGAAAAATTTAGTCGCATTGGCGCCTGTATTAGGCGCAATTTCACGCCCTGTATTCACCCATATTTTTTGATACAAAAAATCGATCACACATTTTGTGCATGTTGATATTGGTCATCGCTTATATTCTCATTATGCAATTTACCGTAAAAATCCTCTTTTTTTGGTAATTTACTATCAGCAAACTAATTAAAACAGTCCATATAATCATATGGGTATACTCCTTTTTTCCTCATTACATCTAATTTATCGTCTTGAAACTCTTGAGAAGTATATTTAAAGGCATCATCAGGTAAATTTTTAACCAGGTTGTCAAGACTTTGACTCATAAATTGAAAACTGTCAAGAAATATCAAATTAAGACCAATCATGAATACCATATATTTTCCATGCTATTTGGTATTACATTAATAGGAATATGATAATTTTTACTACTATGATTTTTTATGATTGAACCTATTTGCTGCATAATGAAATGACTATCATATCCTTTCAAATTATGAAAAATGAGTGGTATTTTTAGGTTATTAGGGTCTATTTTAAGTAATGAATTACATTTGTTATGAGCTGATCCTCTAAACTTACCCGTAATATGACAATGGTCTCTTACTCGTTTCTCAATTTTACAATACTTTTCAGCCATTTGAAAATCATTTTCTCCTTCTTCAGTGAGTAGTAATGGTTTGTTAAATGTATCATCTGGTTTACAGCTGGATACTGGTCTGGTTATTGCTTCAAAATCAGCATAAATAACAAATGGTACAGGCATTTGCTTACTATAATTTTTAAATTGCAATGTTTCACCTTCTTCAGGCATAGTAACCCCCTGTACACTATTGATAATGATACAGTTTTGTTGGTGCTTAGTTAATACATCTTCAGAAGAAAATGCTTGCAAACAATACATACAAAAATGCTTCCTATGTTGGTATAAAGTTTGGTTATACATAAACGTATTAGTCTTTTATCAATACATAATGTTGGTTTTAATTTTCTGTTATAAGCAATAAATTCATATGGTGATCATATATCTCTTTTGATACATAGATTGGATATGGCATTTTGTTTTCATATTCAAATACATTAATCTTGATTTTATTTTGAACTTCAAATTTATTATATTGCTTCTCAGTAACAGGAAATTCAAAGTCAGAATAATTTAAATTTTTCACATAACCTTGGTCTACAAACTTGATTCTTTGTGGGTTATGCTTTTGTGGATTAAGATGTCTTATGTTACACCATCTAAAGCATTTATTATCCTTATACTGTTAGTTGATTAACCCTTTAGATGAATTTTGAAGCTCTTTTGGTAGTTTGATATAAGATGAACCGTTTAATGGCAAGTATATTTCACAATATTAATATGAGCATCAACTGAACCTTCTGATAACCATGTCGCAATATCGTTTATTAACTGTTCAGATGCTGTTTCTAATGTTTCAAATACATCAATTTTATTAGTAATAATATTAATATTACTTTTATGTTTTTGTGTCTTTAAATGGTTATGTTTACCTGCTATACTATAACTACGATTACAATCTTCACAATGCCATGGTGTTTTCATATTCCATTTGCTTTTACTCTTTTTTATAGCTAATTGCCTCTCTTCTTCACTAAAATGCTTAATTGGCATATGGATGCCTGGTGGCCAACCTCTCTTTTTCTCCATTATATATTTATTTTATATAGATAACTTTTTTATATATATTCTTTTAATGATATATCTTTCTTTTAACCAGGAAAACCTCGAAACACATACATTTTCCCAAAACACTGGTAAAATATATCTATTTTCTGACTTGAGATAAACTTGGAATAAAAAATGATTTGGCAACTAAATAAAGTATGCTGTATCCTGGAATTGAGATATGAAAAAAATTTGGGATTTACTCGAGTGTTCTCATGCTGCTAACTACACATACTACTAACGTAAATTCAATTCTTGGTGCCTTTCCGGATGCCACCAATGCCCTTTCCGATGCCTTCATTGTTTATTTTAGCAGTAAAAGATTTATGTACAATCAGCACTTTCAAAAAATTGCTTAAAATTCTATTTAGTGAAGTTTACTGTTAACATTTCAGCTCTACAACATGATTGTTTTCTGCAACTACAAATGATCTGTCACTATATGAAAGTTAAAGTTGTTTCACTGCTGACCACTTATATTTCGGTCTTTTAATTCTTCCTCTGCTCATCACCAATGATTTAGCAAC